GGCGTGGCCTGTGATGGAGCGGGAGCTTGGTAGCACCTGTGGCAGGAGACACAGAATGTGAGAGTTGGAGGAACCTTATCTGGGAAGAGGAGTGATGTGTTTGTAAGTCCTCCTGTAAGCACACCCTGTGCTGGGGTTCTTCTGCCTTGGGGAACAGCACGTGTGATTGTCTGGTATGGGACATTGTAAACCGGAGTCTTGTGTGGTGCCAGCCATGCCTATTGCTGCATCTCAAGTGTAACTGTGAGGCTGTATAAGCAGGGACATGAGGGGGTGGATTTCAGAAGCCCACGTGGATCCTTGTGAAGTTACTTTTTGCTCAGGCACCTTCAAAAGCAAGCAGTTTGACTGTTTTGCAGAAAGTTGTCGGGTTGCAGGAATGTATGTAGTACTGTGGCAGTAATTTGGAAATACAGCTCAGATGCTTGATTTGAGTTACTGGCATTGGATCCAGTGCTCCATTCAACAGCTGGCATCTCGGGAAGACAGACTCATTCCTAAGGGGAACATCAGGTTTTGCTGCAACAGCTGTTTCTTAATTCAGTTTGTGGTTTTGGCCTCAAAACTCTCACTCTGCTTTTCTCTTCCCTCTTTTACGAAGGGGCATGAGAGAAATGAATGCAAAATCTAAGTCTAGTTATACAAAGTAATTGCTTGGGGTGCATGGAAGGAATAACTGTATTTGTTCTTTGTGGCAAATTACAGCAGCAAACAAAGATGCTTCTAAAGCATCAAAGATGTGTTCTTTGTAGTTTTGTGGCAACAAGTTTTATTCAATCATGTTGTATCTCTGCTTTGTTCTCTTTTTTTCTTCTGTGACTATTGGCTAGGTTTGGTGTGTTTCTGAGAGGGTTATATATCTAGAACAGATTAAACTTGCAGAAGTTTTGTGAACGTGGGCAGCTGAGTAGAGAGATTTGGCCAGTGGAAAAATTGTGCTGTGGTCTCAGTGTTTCTTAGATGAGACAGAAAATGTGCTGGGAGCCAGCGGCAGCGTGGGTCTGGACTCTGCCTTGGCAGATGTTTTGCAGCTCTTGTGGAGAGGCTTTTCAGCTTACTGTCTTAGAGAAATGGGACTAAATAGTTCTTCTTTGCCAGCACGTGTACAGCTACTTCCCAACTCTCTTGCAACAGGATTTTCAGTTCAGAGCACTGAAGAAGGTCCGCATCTTTGATGCCCCTGATGATCTTCCCAAAGAGCGCTCCAGTCTCCTTGCAGTGTCTAACAAATATGGCCTGGTCTTTGCTGGTGGAGGAACCAGCCTGCAGATCTTTCACACTAGAAATCTTCTCATCCAAAACCAGCTGGGAGAAGATCCCAATAAGATTGGTAAGGCACACGTATGTCTCATGGTCTTTGCAGAAACAGCTTTATGTGGGTTTCCATGATATGGAGCTTTTGGCTTCTGACACAGTCCTTATTGTGCTCTTTCACGTGTTTGAAATTACTGCATTTTCTTGTAAGAAGGCAGGAAGGATATTTGGTGTCCCTTCAGCTGAAATGAAGTACAGCTGTTGGGAACACATCACCAGGATGTGCTTTGTTAGCTCCCATTCAAGCATCATTCAGATGTGGTCACCTGTGTTCAGTGCCATGCAGTGAGGTTGACTTTCCCTGCCTGAGGATGTAGCCCTTTCCTCACAGCCACACAGTTTTGGTAGCCAGTCTTCAAACCGTGAACCTCTACACATCAGGGATGTGTGTGAGTGGAGGGACAGAGCTCTCACACTGAGTTATCCACTTGGACCAAGTGACTGTCCTGCAAGAGAAGGAAAAATCACTGTTCCAGCACTGAAGTGCAAACTACAGCTAAGTGCAAAATGGTTTTCATTCCCATATAGTCCTTAGTAACTGTACTGCTTGAGGTATTCATGTGCACACGTAAGAAAAACCAAAAATCTGTCCACTTATTTTTCCTCCAGGTTACTGAGGAAGAAAAGTGGAATTTTCTTTTCTTAGGAATTTGGCAGCTGTTGAGACTGTATTAATAAAGATGAAGAAGTTTGCTGTTACTCAGTTTTTCTACATGTTATCTTTGCAGCTGCTGTTAATAGGACTGGTGATTTTTTGCGTAAACTCATTCTAACAGTATTGTTTTACAAGAACAGTTCTTGCTATATAAATTTGTCCCCTTCATTCTGTCTTCCTTTGCTTTTGTTTTAAGTGGAGAATGTTCAGAGTACCTTAGTTCCCATGAAGTTTCCTGTGCAGCACCTGGCTCTAAGCTGTGATAATCTCACACTGTCCGTCTGTATGATGTCCGGCGAGATCGGTTCCTTCATTGGCTTTTTTGATGTGCGCACATTCTTAAATCAGGTAAAGCATGTGCAAAGTGAGTGCTTTGGCGTGGTTTTGTTTGCTTGTGTGGTTTTTTCCAGAATACAGCAGGAGGAGGGGAGTAGCTTGGGTGGGATTTTCTGTCTATATTGGAGCTGTCTTTTAAAGGAGTTGTTCAGTAAACTTTTTTGGGTTTCTGCTTCTTATTTTTATCAGTCATGTATTTATAGGAAGGCTAAAACTGCTTTGAATTATGACTTTGGGAATACTGCATTTCGTGCTCAGCTTTAACTGTCTCATGTATTTGTCTTTCCTAAAAGGCAAAACAGCAGAAACGTGCATTTGCATATCACAAACTGGCCAAGGACTCTGGAAGTGCAGCAATGGTCAACGACCTGAAGTGGAACCCTGCTAGTCCTGCCATGGTGGCCATCTGCCTGTCTGATGGCAGCATCTCTGTCCTGCAGGTCACAGATTCTGTGAAGGTGTATGCCACACTGCCTTCCTCTGTAGCTGTTACATCTGGTGAGTGGCAGCCTTGGGTAGCATACAGAATGGCAAACACTGAAGAGGAGAAGCAGATTGATAGGTCTAAAAAGACAGGTTGTTTGTCTGGGGAGGAGGTAGCTTAAAAAAAATCTTTACAAAAAGGAAAGATTTAAACTACCTGAGACTCAGAAAATGAGTTGCAATATAACTGCTCTTTCCAGGCTGGTTGGAGGAGCTGCATTTTGTGAATTAGTCAAATATGCCCACCTGTTTTGTACCGTTTCAGGTTTGACTGTCGTTTCCAAGGAAGCACGCAAATAAGAGTCGTCATCTGTTGGTTTTTGATGTGTGTGGTCTTGCTTTCTCTGTGACTGGACGACTCTCTGTTTAATGATTATTTTTTTTCAGGGGAAAAAAATGTGACTTAAATTTATTGGTCCTGCTTTTGTGGGATGTCGTGACTCTCCAGTTGCTTAACGCTAATGAAATTCTTTTTTTTTGCTTAGTGTGTTGGAGCCCAAAGGGAAAACAACTGGCTGTAGGGAGGCAAAATGGCACTGTGGTACAGTATCTGCCTGTAAGTACTGTTGGTAATAAGGTCTTGTGTCTGTTCACTAGTTTGCAATGTGTTTTGTTTTATTTGCATCACAAGCTATTGAATTTGATCAGGTAGCATGTGATGTGAGCCACGTGAAGCTACCCAAGTACTTTAGTAATATATAAAGTAATATTAAAGACCAAGGTTGTGTTTAGTTTGAGGTTTCCACCTGCCACTTGAGTGTCATGATTTCAGAGTGGCACATAATGAATGTTAAAGAGTGGGTGAGTTGCTCTAAACCAGTTCTCTGGGCTTTCTGCAAAACTTGCAATTGGCTTTGTTGGCTTTTTCTTTGTATTTAAGACTAATTTTATTTGCAGAATCTGCAGGAGAAGAAAGTAATCCCTTGTCCTCCCTTTTATGACTCAGACAATCCTGTTAAAGGTACGATTTTTAAATTTCTGTTTAACTTGTTTTCTCTTTTAAAATATTTTTACTCATTCTTCCTTATGTTGTTTTTAGTTATAGCAGCTATATACTGCACTGGTTACCTAATTAGTGAGATTTTTAAGTATTTGAGGAAAAAATAGTTACATGCATTACCTCCGGGTTGCATGGAAAGGTTCCAGTCAGCCAGAGTACTTTTCAATTTCTAGATCATTTAAAGTATGCATTTTAAAAGCTATTTTTTGCTCACTGGTCTGATAGTACTGTCACAAGTAACCTCCCTTTAGCATGAAGACTTCGGATATAAATCCCATTCTTTTATTTCATGTGAGTTTCATTTCATCATTTTGACTCTTCAGTAAGATGTCAAAGCTGTAAGTTTAGAAAAGCAGAAACACTACATTTGGATATGCCAAAACATCATCCGTGTTTGGAAACACTTGTGTTCTCACCTGTGATATCGTCAAGCAAATCAAATACATCCTTTTGGTGTTGTTTGAATTTTCTGGAATCAAGTAGTTTGGTTTTTCTTTTCTCTGCAAGCAAGTCATTGAAATTCTCTACTTTGGTAGTTTAGAAGTTAGCAGTTCTTTATTTCTTTGTTTGTAATTTACTTTTGTGTGCTGTGCACAGTTAAAATCAAAATGCAAGGAAGCATCATTCTGAAGTGTTCCTGGCTGAGGTATTCAAATTTGTTCCCTTCTCTTTCAGTTTTGGACGTACTGTGGATTGGCACATACGTCTTTACTATCGTATATGCAGCGGCTGATGGGACACTGGAAACACCTCCAGAAGTGGTCATAGCCATCTTGCCTGTAAGTGCCAGCAAGTCACAACAACAGAAATGTTTGTTGTTTGTTGCTTGGTTTTGACTTGTTTATTACAATGGCACCTTGCTTTTATTATTCACACTTGAACTCTACATGATACCAGTTTAGTACTACTGTAAATCATGAGTTTGGGGGGAATTGAGTGGAGGAAGTAGTATCCAACTGAAAACCAATTGATAACCTGTTCTCTGCTGAGATCAAAGTATGACATGAAGACTTTTAGCCTCTGAAATAGGCACTTGGGAAGATAACCTTACCTGATGTAGAGTCCTGATACATTGGGATTTTTTGTTTTGTTTAGGTTAGGGCGATTTTTAGGTCTGATGTTACGCCCTTGTTTAGTATCAGGTTATTCACTGCTTGGGGGTTTAAGATCTAAAGTCCTTGGTAACCTCTTTAATTGTCTCTTTATCTTTTGGAGGAGGGTTTTAGTCTGTTTGTTTTGTTCTTTGTTTTTTGAGTAGTCTCATGATGCCTGTTCCCTCTTGAAGTATGTGGCAATTATTGGTGTACCCTGATTCAGGCATATTTATGGGAGTTTACTTGATTTCTGCATTGGAAGGTAAATTATCAATGTTTGCCTTACAGAAAAAGGAAGAGAAGCGACCAGAGAAGTTTGTGAATTTCATGGAGCCTTGCTATGGGAGCTGCACAGAGAGACAGCATCATTATTTCCTCAACTATGTTGAGGAATGGTGAGTGGCAGGAATCCTGGCAAAGTCTTCAGCTTGCTATGCATGTTGGAGTGGTCAATGATTCCCAGTGTATTGTGTTCCTCCCTTTCGTAAACTATATAATACCTGAATATGAAACAGATGAAATGTAATTTTGAAAATGCTTTGTGTAAGTACAGCCAATTCCTCCTGCGTGCTTCATCTTCACGCAAACATGCTCATTTATCTGGGGAGAATACGTATTACTGTTTAAAATCTGTCATAACAGTTTCCCCTGAGATTGTAAGTCATAGGTTGGGTAAAGCATGACCTTTTTTCTTGCTTAATTGTGTATCCGTGTGAAGAAGCTGCTCCTAACTCTTCAACTACTGAACTTGGACCATCATTATTTATGATGCAGTGGCTGTCGAATCACTGGTTGGCAGGGAATTTCATCCCCTGGTGACTAGTTGTAAAGAAGCAGCTCTGTTCTGCAGTGATGTAGCAAATGATGGTTCCCTTGTCTTGTAAGGAAAAGTCAGTTTCATATTGTTGTAACTGAATTAGTAGTTACGAATTTGGGTATATGATAATTAATTGTGGAGCTGGGGACCTGTGTTTTAACCTGTTTGTGTCCATGCTCACAGGGATCTAGTTCTGGCAGCTTCAGCAGCTTCCACAGAAGTCAGCATTCTTGCCAGACAAGGGGATCAGGTAATATTTTTGTTCCTGTTGCATTTGTGCATATGTACCTTGCCTTCCTCAAAAATCTTAAGCAAGTATAACCTTTGTAAGACCTGGAATACAATGAGATGATATATTTAAAAAAAACTCTCCAAAACCAAACAAAAAACCCCTTTCTTTTTACATCTGAGTTGTACAGAATCTTAAGATAAACGTAATTCTTAGATGAACAAGAGATCTGAGTGACACAAAAGAGAAGGGATAAACAAACGCAGTATGTTGTGAACCAAGTACTAGCAGTCTGTTTTTCATTATTTACTTGGCAGTCTCAAAATCTGGTCAAGCTCACTGTAATTGATTCATGCAAGGCCATCAATTGAAGTTAAACACTAGGGCTGTCTGACCTTAACTCTGACATGCAGTGATGTATGAGAAGTCACACACAGATCTGTGAAGGGCTCTGGATATTTCTTGGATTTGTTAATCTGACAAATTTGATTCTCTCCAGCTTTTTTGCACTCTTATTTGCAAATCTGTAGTGGCCTAGAGTTCTGAGGAAGGCTGATCACAGGAAAGCAGTGGTCAAAATAATAATCTTGCTTTTTGCAGAACTGGGAATCGTGGCTTTTAGAGGACTCCAGCAGAGCAGAACTTCCTGTGGCAGATAACAGTGATGACACTCTGCCTGTTGGCGTTGCTATAGACTACACCAGTAACATGCCTATCCCAATCAGTAAGTCTCGTTAGTCTTTCTTGTGGAATAGTTCAATAATAGCAATATATGAGGTATTTTTGAGGGACAGCCTGGTTTTTGGGGTTCTAGGAGATTGTTCAGAAAGGGAGACCAATGCAGAATCCATCCTGCCTTTTTATACCAAGCCCACAACACAAGTGGGCTTACTTCTGTGTAAGGATTCAAAAAGCAAAGCGTTGAATACAGTTCCTCAAAGCTTTCATCAGCCTGGGATACCACACTAACAGACTTGGCAAACAAAGCACCTGAGTTATGTGTATGTTTCACAGAGTCAGGATGACAGTGAATTTAAAGGAGTTGTATTCTAACATCAGGGATTTCAGGCTTCCTGTGAGGTTTTCTTTATTCTTGTAGCTTATGTCGTTTTGCAGAACTGTTTTTTATGAAGTACATTTGCACAGATCTAAAGGAAAAGTGGGTTAGTTTTAAAGCTAGAAAAAGCAAAGATAATTTTGGTGAATGCCTACGTTTTAATTCTGCGTTAAAGCACGGGTTCTGTACTGACTGAACCCTGCTGTGCTCTGCATCTTGCCAGTCTTATTATTACTGTACTTTCTGTGCTGCCTGAAGGCTCTTCAAAGCACCTTGTCAGAGGCTGAAGCTGAAGATACATTTGCGCTATTGTGTTGTACCTTAGTGAATTCTGAAAACTCTCCCTTGAAACCCAGAGATGGATTGAATTAGAGATGCCTCCAGGCAGAGTGGAAGGTAACTGCAGTCCAGAGTTCCTGAAGAGCACAGGAGGGTGCCGATTAACTGAACTTTTCCTCGATGAAAACCTGCAGTAGGGAATTGAGGTCAAACTTTGTACTTGAATGCAAAATTGAATTTGAAGCATTTTCTCTGTTAATCTATACAGTTATTGGATTAAGGAATCTGTCAGAACAGCTTTTTCAAGCCCAAGTTATGTTGCCTTAGAGCTTTTAGAAAGGTTTTTGGAGAAGCTTTTTGCTAACACCTCTGTGTTCTCATAGAGTGCTGTCAGCTTGGTTTTGGCTGTGCATTAATTGGCTTTGCAGTTCAGAGCAAGTTTGGATTGCAGAGAAACCTCATCTGCCTTGGAGTTTGTTCCCATATGGAAACTACCGTTCCCTAGCATGCTTTTTCTTGAAGAACCAATAGGTAGAGAAACATGGCTATCCACTGTGCTGCCTGACAAACAAAGCACTGTGATTATAGCAGATTTTTCCTGCATCCTAGATTTGTTAAATTTTTTTTGTTTAATTAAGCACAGTTAAACCATTATAGAAATTGTTTTAGAAATATAAGTAGTTTGGAGCTTTTAACTGTGCTGTGAGTTTTTGAACTGAAGCAGACTCTAGGCTCAAAGCTGCAGTTGCATAGAAAGCAAGTATTTTATATCAGAGGTTCAGATCATCAGGATGTTTTTTTGATGTTGGCTTTCTTTAAAGTTGAAAAACTTCCTATCTAGCAGTTCTCTCTTTTGTTTTATGTATACAAATGTTAATGATGTGGCAGAACCCAATGGAATTTGGGGTTTGCTCAAAGGCATAAAGGACTGAAGGAGGGAGCAGCATATAGGTGAAAAAAAGGACTACTTCAAAATATGAAAAAGCTTGGAACAGGAATTAATGGGTAAAAGTGGGGCTTTGTCATTCAGGAGATTACATTTGATTGTCAAAATAACCTTTAATCTGTGAATTGGAAACATGAAATTAGGAATAGGAAGGAATAAAGAAGAAAAAAGAGAATTGGGTAATTGTGGAGAAGCAAGGGAACAAAGATAAAAGTGAAAGCAAGAAGGAAGAAATGTAAAATACTGCACTAAGCAAGTCACATAAAGGTGCCAGTGCAAGTAGGAACAGAACAGGAAGCATTGGGTGCAGGACCTTAGCCAATGACAGGACAAGGGGCAATGGGAGCAAGCTGGAGCATAGGAGGTTTAATCTGAACATGAGGAAAGATTTTTTTGCTGTGAGGGTGACAGAGCTCTGAACGGGCTGCCCAGAGAGGTTGTGGAGTCTCCTTCTCTGCAGACATTCAAAACCAGCCTGGACGTGTTCCTGTGTGACCTGGTCTGGGTGATCCTGCTCTGGCAGGGGTTGGACTGGATGAGCTTTCGAGGTCCCTTCCAACTCCTAATATTCTGTGATTCTGTGACTTATATGTGTGGTCTCTGGCAGGTGATGAGAAGACCGTTGCTGCAGCTCCAGTTCTGATCTTGCTCTCTACGGATGGTGTGCTCTGCCCATTTTACATGATCAACCAAAACCTGGGGGTCAGATCACTTATTGTGACCCCAGAGCCATTGCAGTTAGTAGGGGAGAGAGTTCCAAAATCAGCAGGTAAGTGCTCCAGTGGGTTAGGAAAACACTTGCATTTGTAGATCTTTGTCATCTTCATCTGTAAGTTTGGCATTCAGACATGTTGTAGTCACAGAAAATATTTTTTTTCTTTATAATGATAATGGAGAAAGCCCAAATTTGCTTCTCCTTCCCCAAACAGAATGCTTTTGTTTGGCAGCCTGCCTCTCTGCAGCACTGGCTGACTTGTGTGCTGACAGCCTGTTTTATTTGAGATGGCAGTAACCTCATCAAAATAAATGGAGAAAGGTGAAGCCTTTTCACAGGAAATTCCAGACAACATTAATCTAGGCAGCCTGTAATATTGATTGTGACTTGGACTTTGTGCAGTTTCTGTATCACTTAGTGGGTTTGGGGACTGGAAGCCTGGCTCTGCCATCTCTCTTTCTCACTGGACTGTCTGTCCAGTGAGTGAGGTAGTGCTGAGCTGTCCCCATCAAGTAATACTTGGCCTTGCAATACCTTCTGCCATTAGTCACTGCAGCCAAATGAGTCTCGTCCTTCCCCATTTGTCTTTCTGCAGGAAGTACTGCCACGACTCCAACCACTCCTCCAACTTTAAAGCCTGACACAGTACCAGTTGTTGCTCCTGCTGTGCCTGCCTCAACTCAGCCTCCTGCAGGGAGTGGAGCAGCTGCTTTTTCCTTCATGCCTTCAGCTGTGAAGATGCCTGGCACTACTGGCAGTGATCCTCCACCTTATCCCTTTACCGCTGATGCCTCCAAGCAAGCCGTGGCTCCCAGTCTGACTGGAGCAGCAATGTTCTCTTTCTCCTCCACTTCTCCTAAGGCATCCCTGACTCCTGCTCCTCCTACAGTGACCACTACAGCTACTGCCAGCTCCTTTTCATTTGGATCCTTGAATGTTAAGCCAGCTGCAGACAGCTCACCTGGGCCACCACTCTCCACACCACCTCTTGCACAGAAGGCATCTTTTGCCCCTTCAGCTTCTTCAGTCAAAGTGAACCTCAATGAGAAGTAAATAGATACAGTAGTTAATGCAGTGGCTGGATACTTGTTCAATTGCTTCAGGCATGGACGATGTATTGTAGTTCTGAAGATGGTTTCTGGCTTTTTGTCTTGACAGCTGTTCCCCATGCTCCCAAGAAAGCACTGAGGAAGCCTCTCTTTATCCAAGACACAGCCGTCTTGGCTGTGAAAACTCTGTGCTTCCCATGCTAGTTGTTATGTTCATGGCATCTTCCCTTGACTAATATTTTGTCCCAAAATTAGACTGATAATTTGCCAAATTGCCAGAGACCTATTTTTAATGTCCTCTTCATAGGTATCAAACAGTAATTCCATGCCTTGGTTTGACGCAAATCATGGTTAAAGACTCTTGGAGAACACTGGGATTTTAAATCCTTTATGTCTGGGACAGGTTTAGTATGATGATGGTGATAGCACAAGTTTTTTTGGCTGAGTGTTGAAGGTTTCTTACCCTCAACCTCTCAGAGCTGAGAGGAAGCTGTATCCATAGCTGATGGATCTCTTTTCCACTCCAGTGTTCAGTGGAGAAGGTGCCAGACCTTTTGGTTTTGTTCTTAAATGGATGCTTCATCACTGAACACAGGATCTGAAATCTTCAAAGCTTGTTCATGCTAACTGAAAGAAAAATAATTTTTATTAGAAACTATAGAAAATGGATTTGAGTGATGAATGTTCTCAGATTTCATGTACCCACTCTTCCCTCCAACTCCTGAGACTTGCTCTCTTTTTTAGAAAGAATGATTTAAAACACAGAGCTATGTTAATTTGAGCTGCTTTCTGTGGAGAGTAATTTTCATGTAAATGCATTGCAAGAAATTTCTGATGGTTCAGATGATTATTTTTTAATTAGAAAAATCTGTACTACGCCAGGATCTGATGGTAGCTCTTACGGCTTTTTAAATTTTGTATTTTGTGTATAAAGCAAATGATACGCTTGTGAATTTGCTGAATACTTAAATTGGCTGCCTTGAGGAGCTGAGTTTGCAGATGAATGGAAATTCATATTTTCTTGCAGAATTTCTGTTAGAGCCTTGTTCTAAGGATAGCACTGGAGGACAGCTCAGATTTGCTATGGGTGGTGCTTTGGTGCAGGGTAGTACTTTTTGCTTTTGCAATTGGCTTTTGCTCACTGGGTGAATCTATGGTAGCAGTTTTTGTGGTTCCATTTATTCAGCAATGATCCTGGATGGCTCCTTCCCACTATCCCCAGAAGCTACACTTGTAATTTTGTACCTGGACTTTGAGTTGTTGCTGGTCCCAGAGGGTGCTAATTCATTAGAACTTAGTGCTTAATTTTGGATAGAGGGAAACGGCCAGGACCAGTTCAGACCCAGAAGATATTCTGCTTTCTCTTGCAGGTTCACTGCTGTAGACACCGCTTCTCCCACTAGCACCACTGGTCAGTGCACTTCAACAATGTTTTCATTCTCAACCACTTCAAAAACTGCTTCTGGAGGTCCTCTGAGCCAGTCCACACCCCTTGCAGCCCCTCCTACCACACCACTGAAGGCTTCAACCCCTGTGCCTGCCACAGGTAGGAGTCTGATGCATGTTGTTGGAAATAACGCATTGCAAGTAACGTTCTAAAAGTTTTAGGACATAGTAAGCTTTGTTTGGCTTCTTTATTTCTTGTTTATCCTGCTGCTTTTACCGATGCAGTGAACCTCCTGATTTGCACACTGTGATGATCTGATGGACTTAATACTGAAACTGAGAAGCTTTTCCATTTGTGCACTTTGCTCCCTGGAGAGCCATATGTGAAATGGATCTATTCAGCTGCTCAGGTTCATCCAGAAGTTCTGGCATTTTCAGTACTCTGTGACACAGCTCTGGTTATGAATGTTTCTGGGCAGTCACACAAATCACTGCCTTATCTTGCATCTGGTGTGACTAGAGTTCAAAGTGGTCACAAATGACTTTAAATCAGGTAGCGCTTATTTGTTAGCAGACTTTATTGCCATCTCTCAAAAGATCATGTGACTGAGGGTCTTGAGGTCCTTCAGGAGTGGTACAGCCAGATTTTAGAGTGACAGTTGTTACTGTTAGCAGAGAAGTTGGATGGGAGTAAAACAGCACCTAAGGAAGGTGTGTTCTTGCACTGAGGCCCATAACACTATTGCTTTTGAATTTGACAGTAGTGATTATGGATATAAGTTTATAAATTACTGTTCTTCTTTTTAAGCTCCAGTGACACGTCCTGCTCAAAATATGCCCTCAGCTTCTTTACTACAGAAGACAGCCAAAATCACCCCTTCTGCAGCAAAGCTGAGCTCTAGTCAGGTAATGGGAACTTGAGTGGATTATTTAGAGGGTGAATGTTTTACAAGGCCCATGAATTTCTCAGAATCGGACTATTCTTAGATCAAAAAATTAGCTAGCTTTTGACATTAAAATAGTAGCAAATCTGTGGGACTAAAACTATGTTCTATGCGTGTCTTTAGAGAGCTGTGTTTTGATGTATGTCTTCATGATGAGAGTTGTAGGATCTATTTCTTCCTGTTGTTATGGAAATGAGGGTTCACAGCTTTCCTAGCTAAGAAGTAGTCAAGAGATGCCTTGACTGTGTATTGAAAGAGACACCAAGTTTGGATATTAAAATCAAAGCAGTAATACAGAGCAGCACACAAAGATTTCCTTTGCTTTCATAAAGCTGTAGCCATGTATCTCCAGGTAGTCTGCAGTCCTACTTCAAACATACACATACCAGCCTTAGTTTAGGGAACTAGTATTAATGCTTGTGACAATTACTTCCCTGATGACTGGTGTGTCTGAATGGAGTTTCTGCCTCTTTTGATGTTCTAAGCTCCCTGTTGCTAAGGATACATCCCTAATTTTGGTTTTGTTTCTTTTCAGGGCAAAACAGCACTCCCCAGCACAGCTTTAGAGAAACAGACCCACCAGTGGAAGGATTCAGACCCTGTCATAGCAGGAATCCGAGAGGAGGTGAGATTTTTCAAGCAGTTTTCTCCATTGTAGATGCTGTAAGACCATTATATAGGTACACAGACACTTATTTTCAGTTCAGCTTTGTTCTGGTGGTGTCTGCCAGTAGTTTAGGGATCAGAATGCAAATTTTTCCCAAGGTAATCAGCCTAGTTTGTAATTGCTGTTTGTATGTCCTGTTCAGTCATCTTTAATTTCAGTTGCTGTGGTGGAAAAATTGAGTATTCTTTCCTATTAATATTCAAGAAGAATTTCCTGCTTTGACTGCAAAGTGACAGGTGTTTATGGTGTAGCAGAAACATTAGCCAAGAGCTGCCACATTTGTTCCAGACCCTGACATGTTTCAATGGCTGTACTTTGTTTCCCTTGACTTTGCAGATTGCACATTTTCAAAAGGAGATGGAGGAACTGAAGACACGGACTTCCAAAGCTTGTTTCCAAGTTGGTACTCCAGAGGAAATGAAGACATTGCGAACTGAGTCAGATGATCTTCACACCTTCCTCTTGGAAATTAAAGAGACAACAGAGGTGAGCAGAGTATCTTCAAACTGTTTAATTCCTCAGCAATGACTGTACTTCACCTGATGTTCCTACATAAGCTGTTAAAGACGTGACACTTACATTTGTGCTTTCAGGCAGACACTTACAGAAGACCCTGTGCTGGAGGTGACAATGAAAAAAATGTTACTTTGAACCTTGTCCCATCTGTTCTATTTGCAGTCACTTCACGGAGATATTAGTATTCTGAAGACAACCTTGCTGGAGGGATTTGCAGGGGTAGAAGAGGCCAGAGAACAGAATGAACAGAACCGCAGCTCGCGGTATTTACACTTGCTCTATAAGAAACCTTTGGATCCCAAGAGTGAAGCGCAGCTTCAGGTATGAAGCATGTCATAAAACTGAGCCTTGTGTGTGCAAGTGCCCAGCAGTTTTGTTCTGCCCTAGGTATTTGCTGTTTCAACACGGTGTAGTGAGCTTTGTATTCCCTGAGTTTGCAGGACATGCTGAAAATCCTCTCCTCAAGCTCCTCTGTGTTGTTGCTATTTGCAGTGATGATTCAAAACTCCTGTTGAAGAAAAGTAGCCCACCTGAGATCCAAGTGTGTTCTGAGCTTAGAATGTGACTCTTGACATCCTGTTCCTTCTCAGCCTGTAGTGTTTTCTCAGGGACTTCAGTTAAAAGAATATTTTTTTCAACATTTTGTAGAAGAGTTCTTGGAATTATTTTCATCTTCCGCAAGTGCCTTATGGAACAATTTGATGACGACTTATGCCTTACAGAATTGTGTGGTTAATTTCATGGATGGTGGAACATAAGCTAAATGATATTCTAAAAGCTGGGCACAAAGGAAAATAACCAGCAGTACATAAAGTGGCTTTCAAAGACATGAAAAAAATTAAGGTTGAAGCATTCTTTTTTTGTTACAGCTCTGGTGGTGAGAGGGCTATTTAACCCTAAGCAAAATCGAATGAATATGCCCTAAAAATGATACTTGGTCTTTTGTATGCTGATAAGTTCCCCTCAAGAAGTTTGACTTGCAGGCTGAAGACATAAAAAATGTCATCTTTGTTACAGTAGGTATCGAGGGCATGCACACAGTTACTAGAAATCAGCTGACATGAAGGAATTTCTTTTAGATCTGATCTCTAATCTTCATCTGGATTCTGCAGATTGGTTCACAGTCTTAAATATATGCCTGCTTTGATGTCCAGTGTGTCTCTGTGACATTTCAAGCTTATGCTTGTGACTTTAGAGAGATTATAATCTTGAAATGCTTGTTTTGCTGATCTGGAGAAAGAATCATGAGGAAAGAATAGCAGAGTGGGAAAGAAATGGAAGTGAATTAGAATATCAGGAGAGAGCTTTAGGTCAACTTTCTGAAAGTTTGAGAAAGACAGCTCTAGTCTGATTCTTAAATTTTGTTCAGACAATGTAATCCATATTCTCCTGGGTGAGGAAAGCTCACTTAATCAGCTTTGTGTATTAGTTTTCAATGAAGTTTTAAAGTTCCTGAGGCTTTTCTGATGTCCAGCCATATCGATTTGCTGTCCAGAGAGCTCCTGCTATATAATGCTCATAGTTGCTGGAGAGAGGAAACCTGTGCTTGGCAGTGTGTAACACTAAGCCCACAGTAGGACTGGATTTGATTTCAGGTTGGGTTTGTTATAGAATTTCATGCTGTATCCTGAAAACAGTTGCAGTGGAATCTTTCCCAAGCTGCATTACTTGGCTGCTTCATTACTGTATTTAAGTGAGCATTCTCTTGAGATGAACTGAAACCAACTGCAGCTTCCGTTTCCATTTTATGAGATCAGAGTTCAAGATATGTTAATGCCATGACAGGCTGGAGTGGTGACAATAATGATGCTGAGCAACTGGTTTGATTTAGGGAGCAGGACTTGTAGCCAGAAGTCTCTGGCTTAGTTGTGCCAGTTATGCAACTGTGTGGTCATGGATAAGTCCCTTTACTCTCTCTGTGCCTTTTTTTTTTTTTTTTAGTTTTTCCTTAGTATCTATAAAAATCAAGTTAATTCCTTGCCTTAATGTGGGAGTTGTGAGCGTTTGTGAATGATTCATGAAAGCATAGTCCGTGAACGCTGGTATCCTAGAGCTATGTGAATAGCCTGCAAAGCTTTGATCACCTATAATTGTTAGAAGTTTCAACGTTGTAAAATGGATGCAAATGACTCACATTCTGGAAATGAGATTTGAAATAAAATATGTTTTGTATAATGCTTGAAGTTTGCAAAACCTTTTCTGTAAAGACCTGGCAATGTTTTGCAAACACTATGGAAAGTATTCTTTCTAGTTGAGAGCTGGGATAAAATGTCCAAGCCAAGCCCCATTGATTGAAGAGTAGATTTTCGCTAAGTTGGGTTCTATTGTGCTGATAAAACTTTCCAGGCAGAAATATGGAAAAGTGCTGCATGGCTTGAACTGAATGAGCCCAAAGGGTCCTCAGCTTCTTCAACTGAAACTGAGATTTCTGCATTGAATTAAAAGCAGACTTTATTTTGCATGGTAGGCAATACGGCGCTTGCACCAGTACGTGAAGTTCGCTGTTCAGGATGTGAATGATGTTCTAGATTTGGAGTGGGATCGGCATCTGGAACAGAAGAGAAAGCAGAAGTAAGTAACTGAAATTGGAATACTGAACAACCATAAGGAACATGTCAGTGAATTGGGCATTAGTCTCTAATAAATACAAAAGCCTTTTTCAATTTAACAGTATGATTTTTTTTTCCAAGGAAGTCTGGAAATAGGGCTTGACTAAGACACCTAATGGGAGCTACAGGTTCACACTATTTGGCCTCATAAGTTTTACAAGCTTGCTTACATCTCTGTGTACAGTGTAAATAGTTCTTATAGGAAAAAGTGTAAAATAAGCTTTGTAGAAACCAAATGCATCCGTTGGTTGTAGCTAATGAAACCTTTCTAACAAATAAAACATCTTGAAGTAAATGAGCTAAATTAATAAACTTACAGCATATCCAAAGGTGAAATATGCATTTGAGATGAACTGAATCACTGCTGTTCAAACCAGACCATGCTTGACCTCATGGAGTTTAAGTAGCTGGAACTACTCAACTACTCTGTGTATGCATGCCTGCTCATGGCCAGATATATAGAATGGTCCTTATCCCTGTCTCTTGATCTGATTTCTTAAGGCGTCTGATAGTTCCTGAGCGAGAGACTTTGTTTAACACCCTGGCTAATAACCAGGAAATAATCAATCAGCAGAGGAAGAGACTAAATCAGCTTGTGAACAGCCTGCAGCAGCTCCGACTGTATAATCGGACATCTCAGTGGAGTGTTCCCAGTGATACATCTTCTCTTAGCAGTGCTCAAAGGTATGTGAGACATGAGTTCCTGAGTGATGTTGATGCTCCTTCTCTTGCCCCCAGCAATGTGCGAGGGTGCATCCTCCAAAGAACGATGCTTTGGGGATGTGGTATGGGAGGACAGGACGTCCTAAAAATTATACTACACCATGCCCAGGTAATACAGAAGCTCCTTGGTTATATTCTATGACAAACTGTTTTATGGAAAATTTCTGATAAGCATCAAAGTTACGTGGTTTTTTTTGTTAATAGTGAACAGGGTAATAGAGCCTCCAGGCTGAGGGTACTACTGGTTTTCTGTCTGAATTCAGGGGAAGAAGTGAATGGCTCCTAGAGTGTCCAAAATAATTAGATGGATATGTTTAAATAGCACAGTATCTAGAGGAGCCAATTGTTCTTCCAGCCAATGGTTCTAGTGGCTTCCTTGGTTCCCTTTTGTTCCTGATTTGGTTGGTTTCTTTCTGCTGATCGTGCTCTGCCTTGTCTCAGTTTTGACAGTGACCTTGAAAGCCTGCGCAATGCCTTGATGAAAACTACCTTGGAATCACATGCCAAACCTCTACCTAAAGTACCTGGTAATTTATTTTCTCTTGCTGACATTCACACCAAAAATGTGAATTACTTTTTTTGACTTGCAGTTTGATTATAGACTAATAACTTTCTTTGGCTTTCCAGCTAAATTATCCTCTGTGAAACAGGCACAGTTGAGGAATTTTCTAGCCAAGAGGAAAACTCCACCAATTAGGTCTACAGCTCCAGGTAAATCTTTAGTTATGGTAGAAGTCTGAAATGCTTTCCAGAAAGGTGAATTACCTGCTGTGGAAATCAGTCCTGAAGTTAGGTTCTTACTCCTCGACCCCTGCTTCTCATTTCCCGTTTCCCATCTGTTCTCAGTAAGAATTTCCTTCAGTTACTGTTTTGTTGAAGGCTGCCTTTCTTGACAGTTGAGAAGTCAAATCCTGTCAGTGCAGGATTAAAACAAGCCGGTAGAAAAGCATCCTAAAATAGGCTGTCTCTATCCTTGGCTGGATGGTTCCCTCAACTTAATACACAGACATTATTTTGTTTTTGATATTGCAGCAAGTTTGTCCCGGTCTGCCTTTTTGTCTACAAGATACTATGAAGATTTGGATGAAGTCAGTTCAACATCCTCAGTTTCCCAGTCACTAGAGAATGAGGATTCACAGGCAGTGGACCAGGAAGAAGAGGCTGCTCCAGTCCAAGTCCCTCGTCATGCTCCTGTGGTCCGTACTCCCTCTGTCCAGCCTGGTTTGATGGCACAGTCTCCGCCCTTTGGGAAACAGCACGTCTCCCTGGGTACTTTGTGTGAGTTGTTGTTTCAGTGTCTATCCTATTCTGCATGTGTTCTTGCTGGTTATCTTTAACCACTGTATCCACTGCTAGTGCTTCAGATTCTGGAGAAATTAGATTGCCAAATTTCCAGAAGCAGTTAACAGAGTGGCAGCATAACCTCATGAACTTGAGCTAAAAGCACTAAAATATCTTACATCATTGACTGTGTTGTTCTGATAGCCTGTTTCTTCCAGGTAGTGCTGACCATAGGTAGCATTGTCTGTCTTTTGTAATTTACCTTAAGCGTATGCCATTATTTCTTAAAATAATGCCCAAAGGCTAGGAAACTGAAGTGCTACTGTATTTGGTTGGTGTTGCCAAGGTTAGGAGTTCTGAGCCCAGTCACAGTAAGAACTGTAGCTGCAGACATTTTAGCTTTCGTTGTGCAAGAAAGATTTTTTTAATTTCTGTAGCCAGAGAGGAAAATAAGGTGTCAGCAGAAGTGTCTGTCGCAGCAAACTGAAAGTCATCTAATACACTGAAATGACAGCTATTGAGACTTATGTGCTAAATTCACTGGGATATAGAGAAACTGCCAGGGACAGATTGTGTTGATTGTTTAAAAGGCCTGTGTGTCAGTCTTGTCAGAAGGAAGCTGTGTACTTAGAGAAGCTGCAGTTCAGCAAAGGGTTTCAGGTCGCCCTGATTTGTAGAAATATAGTGAACTGTAATATTCTTGTTCATTTGCTTTTTAGTGCCTACATCTTCAAACAGAATCATACCACAAGGGGCAGACAGTACAATGCTTGCAACAAAGACTGTGAAGCACGGGGCTCCTGCTCCCACTGTCACTGTTCCAGCACCACAGGCAGCTGCTGCTGCAGCTCTGCGGAGGCAGATGGCTAACCAGTCCCCAGGTAAAAGCATGGCTAATTGCCCAAGTGAACTCTGAGCAGTTGAATGTGACTTTAACAGGAATTTAGTGCTCTCAAAGGAAAAATATCATCAAACCAAATGTGACACAGATCTGTATTTATTGCGCTTCCAAGCTATCCAGTGTTTCATTGTCTTCATTTTTCCTTTAAGCTACTCATACAGAATGCATTGGTGGGAAACTCCCACCTCAGGTTTCTTTGTACCCCTTGTCCGTGCAGTGGCAGAAATGTTGATGACTCTTGGGAGATCCTGACATGGCAGTGGATCTATGTGCAAGAAACTCCATTGGAGAACAGAGAAAGGATGTCACTGGCCTATATTTAATAGCTCTTCATTATTAGCTATGCAATTAAAGATCTGAATTGTAGACCAATTTTAATATTCAAAAGTTAAAGGTGAACTGTTGAGTTAAGCCTCACATCTGCTTGTAAGGTGTTCAGTTGACAGGAGAAAGGTTCCCCAATTTAAGCTTTTCTTGTTTGGTTTTAGACATTTCTCTGTACTTCCTCAGTTATGCAGCATCAGTGTGGAAAAGAAACAAAATTCAGTTACTGCTAGAAGAATTGGATTAGTTTCTTTTCCTTGCCTAAGTGTAGGAAGCAGATTAGTGGCATGAATTCTGGTAGAAGCTGGTGTGTAACTACACAGGTCATTTCTGTTAACCTAAGATGTAGGTTACAATGTAGGTAAGGATAAGTTTGTAAGAATAATTAGATTGGGTCAGCTAACAAGGAAAACTCTACCAACTACGTGGAAAACTGCCCACTTCTTTGATGTCCTTATTGAAGGCTGAAATACAAAATGTTTTGGGCCAGTTACAACACAGCTTCTAGAAATGTGCATGGATTTCTTCTGTAGTTACTTATAGGCACCATATTGAATGAAATGCTTAATATGGAGATTGTCTTTACCTATTTTCTCTTTTTCTTGAAGCTGTAAGCACCTCCCTGACTGAATCAACTCTGAAGAACGTTCCTCAGGTGGTGAATGTGCGGGAGCTCAAGACTGGTGCATTGACTCCAGCTGTCTCTGCAGTAATAGGGTGAGTGGGTGCTCCCCTTTTCTCTGGTAGCTTTTGGTAGCACTTGCAATAGAACACATCTGCCGATGGGGAGCAGTAGTAGTATTCTGCATAGTCTGACTATGTAAGGCCTAAAGTGGATGTGTTTAGATAAAGCGTTTGGGGTTTGTGTAATGAAAGGAAGAAAAATTTTCTTTCCAGGTCATTGAAGGATTTGCTAATGGCTTGTCTGGAACAAACAGTGAGACCAGTATTAACCTCCTCCTCCATTAGTCTGTGAAACGTGTTTTAGTGCATCCCTTCCTTTGGAATCCAGTGGTTTTACTGCTAATACGGACTTTGGATCTGGTATCTCTCCAGTCACTGCTTCTGTTTTGTCTCTTTCTGTGAGAGATGTGCACTCCTCTGTCGCTCAGTGTGGTCTGTGGCCTTAAGCTGTCCAGATGTTGTTCGTTCTACTTTGTCATCCATTACAGAGAAAACCTTCCCCAGAGTTACGCCTCTTCTCTCTGTTCTCAGATTCACCCCCTGAGGGTAGCACTGTGGTCTGGCTTTTCTGGAAAGTTGTCTCAAATTCTTTGACATCAGAATTTAGACTGACAGGTTGGGTGTCAATAGGGGCTGATCACTTTGGGAAAATACACAGCTGCAAAGCTGTCTTCCTCATGAGTAAATTATGAATGCTGTCTTCTGATATTTAACCTTGAATTTGTTAATGTTTCTTGTGAGTCAGCTGAAACACTTGGCTTTCCTACTTCTCTGCCTCCTGCAGACAACAGCCAACTCTGCTCATTCCAGAAATTTCTGTCTTATCATCGGGCTCTGTCACCAGCCATAGAATGAGTCCTTTTTTCTGTCCTCGTAATGACCTTGAAACTGTCTTTGCTTGAAGTTCCTACCGTTGCTTAAGACCAAGATAATGCATGGCCATTTCTGGGCTGGGGAGGTAAAGGCACTGCCGAAAAGTTTCAGCAAAGTTAGACTTACTGCATAAAGCAGGATAAATACACCACATGTATCTGATTATAAGTCCACATGGAATTGCAGTTGCTTTATCCAAATAACTGTGGGCTGTACGTGCAGCTCCTGGAGCAGTTTCTGTTGTTGTATCAGTTCTGGTTTTCATCTGAAGAAAAAAGGTGAAATTCCTTATCAAAAAAGGAACAGAATCTTATAATGGTGGAACTCGGCTACTGACCTTGAAAATTACTTTATAGTTTCTTCTGTATTTCAATTGGGAAACAGCTTGGGAGCTTTTTACTATTTTATTTTCTCCTAAAAGTTATAAACTGAGAGGAGGAAGGATGATGCTACTCATTTTGAAAGTAAAATTTCCAAACAGCTCTGCCTGGAAAATTTTGGTAAAAGCAGTGTTAAGACTGGGAAGAGTTCTTCACCCGTTGTTTCATCAAAACTATGGTGAAAAAAGTCAAGAGTACTGGTACATATTTGAGATTGGTTTTCACTTGCGCTATAGTTAAAAGACTTGTCTTACTTTCAAGTAGTTTTAGACTGGCAGTATTGATTGATCTCGCTAATTTATAGAGCGCCAGCTAGCTCAATATCTTGAAGGCTTTTTACAGTCTTATTTTATAGCTGACCTCATAAAAATGTACTCTCTCAAAATTCTACCCAAATGAACCATGCCTGCCAGTCAGATTCAGCACTAAAATAAAGAGCATTCACCCAGCAAAGTTAATTCATCAGTTTTTTGCTACTTCAGACATCCTGACTCTCTTTTGCTGCCACAGCACACTCTTCGGGCTGTTAAGCAGTAATGATTTTTCAGTTGTTATCAGTTATTCAATGGCCTGTGCCTAGGTGTGTTGGTGGTCTTAGTCCAGTTACTTATAAATAGTTTTCAATGCACAAAAACCTTCCTACCATAACTGAAGTTAAACCCAGCTTTTTCATAGCCTTGTCAGAGAAGCTGTGGCTCAAGTGATCTTCAGACTTTTCTGGGGAAAGGGTCCCACGCTATCGTGAATTTCACAGACTTTCTGTTGTTTTCTTTGTTCAGGGTTCATATGAACCTGAAATTTACAGCTGTACCTTCCCAACATAGACTCTTTCCAGTGCTAATCTGAAGTTTCCCTTGTTTGCTTCACTTTTGCTCTGGGCAAGGACAAATCCAGGCCATGCAACGTAGAGAGCGAGCATTCTTTGCTGGAAGGGGATTTTACTAGTAACGTAAAGCTGTTTAAGGCACAAAACCCTATCCAAGACTAAAAGGCTATGCAAAATTATCATTTCATGTGTGTGTCCCCTTCATTTAGAATATAGCAGGAAGTTTATATGAGCTGGTCTGTAGCTGACCAAATAGTAAATGCAGTTTGGGAGTCCTCATGCTTTAGGAGAGAGACAACTTCTGATGCCCAGATTCACTTACTGTCTGGAATTTGCAGCCTCATCCTTTTCCATAGCACAGAGTTTGCTTTACTGCCTTAGGGAACACCTGGCCTGCATCAAGATGGAAAGAGCCTGCTAGGGTAAGAGAAAGCTGATCTTTGCCACCAGGAGGATGCAATTGTTGTTGAATATAAGCTTCTGAAAGCTTCTGGCATTGGCCATTTAAGCTGCTGAACCTGGTGAGCCACAGACTTGAGGGGAAATGCTACAACTGGGTGGCTGTTCCAAAGTTGCAGTGATTTGGTGTGTTAAGGACCCACAGCACGAAGGATGCTTCACCCTAGAAGTAGCTGCTGTTCTGCAGCAATTATCTTTGGGCTCTGATGTACAGTTTATTTCATGGTCAACATTCCCAAACCTATAATGTAGAATATGGGTTAATTTTATCACAGTTCTTGCCATGACTTCATCAGTGTTCTTCAAAGACACGAGATGCTTCGTTTCATGTCCTCCCCCTGCTCCGGCTTTGTCTCCTTGCTCAGCACTTCTGAGTGTTGTGTGTACTTGTCTGGGCTCTACACTATAAAGAAAGCTTCTTAAGTTTGTTATCCACTAGGCATAGAATTGTAATCCCCTTACCTGCTGATTTTTCATCAACTCCCTGTAAAGTAGAAAGGCCCGACTCTCTTCAGAGACAAGAGTGCGTGAGGAAGACTTGATCGTTTAAGTCTAGAGCTTTAAACACATCTGCAGACTTCCTTTGTTAACTGTGGCTGATTCATTTAAGAGGTTTATTCTAATCAGATTTGTTCGTTTGGAGTTGTGTGTGGAATCTTTAATAGCAGTGGTTGTTCGAGACTTCTGGAAGCTGTGCATTTTCAGAGGCAAAGAAGTTCTCTTTTAATATAGTCATTTATTTAACGTTTTAATTTTTCTTTTTAAGGTCATCTGTACCTCACTCTGCAGCCCAGGCAGTCCACCAAGTTTTGGCAACTGTTGCTACAAATCAAGCTAAACAGGTACCTTGATACGGAACCCTTTCCCTATGGAATACTGGACCTGGGCATGCTCAGCCCAGTTTGGGGGTTTATTTGTCTGTGATCAGGTCATCCACAAATATCTTTTCACAGTTTGCCCCGCACTCTTGGCAAGCCATTTATCTGTGACCTCGACAGCGTGATGCCAGGCATATCTTTGTTTTGTCTTGCCTCTTCTCTCTTTTGAAGACTTGCAGCTTTCTAATGGCCATCGCCTTGCAGCATTAGGGGTTGCAACTAACAAAACAGGAAACTGGATTAGGTAGATGTACCTAAATTTCACAAAAGACCCCCAAACTAAGCAGTCAAGGGAGAGAGTAGTTTACCTGTCCTGTTGTTATACTGAAAACATTTCTTATTGGTGGACAAGCTGCTAGGTTTCATGTCCACACAACAAAAAAAAACTGTGTGACAGTCTTTGTCCCCTGGAGTCATTAAGGTGTTGCCCATGGAGGCTTGCTGGCTTCTGAGAGAGACTTGCTGAAAATGTTGAGTATTGACCCTATATTTAAGTTTCAAAACACAGAAATGCCCTTCAATTTTGGGCCCATACGTGCTTTGACCACCTTCCTCTAGTTTGTTCTTAAGTCTTTGCATGACTGTCATAATACCAGACCAGGTTCAGGAGAACCTTTGTTAGTGGACAGACTGCACTGACGTGAAGTGGTTTTGTGTTTTCAGACCCCTCTAACAAGCTCGCTTAAGGGACAGACTCCACCTTCCTCTGTGTGTGCACCATGTCCTATGGCATCTACAGCTGGTCCAACATCATCTGGCAACAAAATCTCAGGTAAGTTGTCTTTGCTGGAAATGGAAATAAGGCCTGGATGTCTCTTGCCACCTGTCAGGGTGTGCGATTCAGAGAATGAAGACACTGAGAGAAGATGATCAGCCTCCACGGAGAGGCTGCTGAGCCAGTCTTGAGGGAGAGAATTTGAAAAACCAAAGTACAGAAGAGCAGGAGAGTAGTTTTGTATACAGCCCTATGTTTCGTCTCTGTGCCTGCATATAAAATTCAGTGATACAGTTTCTTGTTCAGGGTGGATTCAGAATGTGTAACCCTTTAGAAATGTTGAAAGCACATCGATGAATAGCTACTGTGGATTGACAGCAAATCAAGAGCAGACATCTTTGCTGGTTTTTTTAAACATGGAAAATTGTGCAGGAAAGTGATAACATCCTGAAGTAACAGGAATGGTTTTTCCATACATTGATGTCTGATGAGTATTTCTATACTTCTAGGCTGCAGTACTGTAGGAGTACCTGAACTAGCTTGAAAAGACCTAATTCAGTACTGGATCTGCTGGGCACTGAGCTCTATGACCAGTTTCAAAGCCAGTTCAGATACTGAGGTCTGTTGGGCACAGTTCAGAAGCTTCTAAGAAAAGGAATGCTCAGTTTACAGCATTCAGTGCAAATGAGGGAAGAAGAAACTCAGAGAGAAGGAAGGAATTGATTTTTAATGTGTATTAGATGATAATGCTTGCATTGGACATGGTTTTATAAGCCTCTTGCATAAATGTCTGAAATCCATCTCTGTTGCTCTTCTGCCTTTAATCCATGGATGTAGGTTGCCTCTTAGCCAGGGGTAAGAAGCAGTAAAAATAGCTGGGAATCATATTTGACTTGGCAAACACTTCTAAATTTTGGTTTATTGAAAATGTCAGCTCCTGAATTTGATAGCACTTCCTTTTTTCAGATATGTTTTGATATGTCAATAGGAGATTTTACTAAGGTTTTCTTATTTTTACTTAATTTTTATTGTCAAGACGATGACATCTATCTTTGCTCTCATCAAATATATGTTATAGCTGTAAACCTTGGAAATACTTCATGTGTTCTCTGACATTGTAACAGCACCAGGAATGTTTCTGTGCATAAATATTAGCCCTGGTATAAGTGCCAAAAAAACTTTGTTTCCAGTTGATAAAATCACAGATTGTGTGTGCAGACCCTTCCTTTTTTGATAGTTGGATGACAAGGTGCTTTATTTTTTCTTTTGTAATGCTTGTTCTTGTAACTTACAGGACAAGGGTCAGTAAAAACAGTTACAGCTGCGACTTCTTCTACAGTGACATCAGCACCAGCAACAACCACACAGCTTAACAAAGCGTTCTCATTTTCTTCTGTGGGGTCTGTATGAATATTCACACTTCTTGTCATTGATGTTAGATATAAGTATTGACTGTTATAGCAAGTGTTACCTACAAGCAGCATAATCCTGTAAAATGTCACCTGCAAATATTAGATTGGGAGGGCAGGGGTTGCACCAGAGTTTGTGGAAGACCTTCTGAAGGGCTGTGAGAATTTGACACAATGTTGTGTTGCTTTGAGATTTTTTTTCAGAATGTAATGAATCAAGAGTCAATAATGACTAGCTTTCGTTTTAGGTTTATCAATAGTGGGCTGTTGCACAAATCACACACTGTATGTACTGGTATTTCTCATCATCAGGTGATGATTTCAGATTAGAGCAATCTGACTACCTTTGAGTAGTACATCATCACTTCTCATAAAGGCAGAAAAGAACACTTATGCTGTATCTTGTATGTTGAGGTTAAGGAAGAGGGAAAAGAGGCAGACCATAGCTGGTTTGAAGCCTCGTTCTTTATTTAGTGAACAAAGAGGAAAAACATCCCTAGCAAGTTGTGCAAAGACATGTGAGAATGAACTTTGGCTTTGGAGCAGTAGGAGAAAGGGTTGAACACTGGAAGCTTCTCAGCACAGTTCCAAAACAGTTTCATACGAGCTGCTGTGAAGAAAAATAACTATCCCAGCTATAAAACCAGCACACAGAGGAGAAGAAAGAACCAGAACATGACCGTATGAACACTTGTCACCTCTGAAGATGGATTCCAAAGAGAACAGTGGTGGTTTTTTTAACCTGGGCATATGTATACAGGTTTCAAATGCTGGCGGATATTTGAGACACAAGTGCTGGAATTCCCAGTTAGGACTTGAAATTTGTGCTGATGGTTAAAGTTGCTGAATTACTTGTTTTAGTACAACAGATCAAATTCCATGTTTTGACTTGAAAAGTGTTCTACTCATGAAGGTGACTAGAGCGTCCCCGTGCCATCTGGTGGTTTTTGTTGCATAACAAGAACACAGTAAGATGTGTGTTATGCGTATATAGTTACTCTGAAATCTCATAAGGAGTTTTTTGGGGATGACAAAAGTATTTCTTTGATGGTATGTTATGTTTGGGGGACAGAGATGACTCCTTAGAAGTGTTTGTCTGAAATTCTGCATGTTTACCTACCTAATACTCAAGTGAATTTCTCTTTATGAAGTAGGTAATGTTAAGTGTTTCAGAACACAAGCATACTTTCAAATGGCTGGTTTCTTTCAATCTTAACCATTTCTCTGCATATCTGTCAAGTGGATGCTACCCAAATGCCTTGCTGTGCTCTTCAAAGGGCACAAATAATCCTTCTGCGAGATGAAAATTCAGATTCAAATTGCAAACAAACCCTGCCTTTGTCCCAGGCTGCAGTGCCTCCTCAGTCTGCAAACCATATGCTAAATACAGTGCTGGTGTCAGTGATGTCTTAGTTACGCAGCCTGGCTTCTGTATTAGCAGCTGGGCTTTGAGAACTGGAGAAAGCTTAAAAAGCCTTAGGGAATGAAGGTTGCTGGAAAACCCCAGTGCTCATTAGGAAAGATCACAGTATTCTTGCAAGACAGAATATTTTTAGTGTGAAATAGTAATCGAGACTTTTAATTTCTGTCTTGCAATGAGTGATTTCCTTTTTGATGGGTGGTAGTATCCAGTTGTTCCCTTTTGTACATGCACTGTCTTGTACCTTTTAGCTCTTCTAAATAAACTAGTTGCCATGGTGGCTTCTGCTCCTGCTAGTCTCCCAAAAACTATGAGGGTTTGGTGCATGGTGTTCAGCTGCCAAGCTGAATGGGAAAGAAATGTACACCTGATAGGAAGGGATATGGGAGAATGAGGTGCAGTCAAAAGAACTTGAAACGCTGGCTCTAACCCTCTAGGTGCCTTGTCAGAGAGGAAACAAGTGGAGCCCAGTCTGTGCCCACTTCTCTGACTATTTATTTGTTGGAGAAACTGTTCTTGTGCCTGACTTTGCTCAAGTCTGTACTGGAAATCTGAGTCTCAGTTGTGTTAATCATGGGGTTAGAAGTTGCAACACTTTGAGTTAAGTCTCATTCTTCCCCTTTCTCCTCTTTCCTCCTAGGTCTGGATTTAATTTTGGCATTGTCACATCAGCTGCTTCATCACCAACGCTGCCCAGCCTCACTTCCTCACAAGGTTAGTTTGGAAGAGTGTGCAAACAGCATCTCTTCCCTGCTGAGAGAATGCTTACTTCTCCTAATTCGTCTGGTTCTTGTTTTGTGTTGTAGTACTATTATTAAAATTGCAGTGGCTGCAATAACATTATATATGTATGCTGGATTATGCCCTGTAATGCACAAAAATCTAGGCCACCTGCCTTTCAATTAAGAGTAAGCACAATATTTGCTGCCAAGAACATCTAGGAGGTATTGGTTTTTGAAAAGAGTAACATCTGTAGTAATTTTCCTTGTTGTCATTAATCTGTAGATTTTAAAGATCCCAAGATGGTCTGACACAGAAAGCTGTCATGAAGTGGATTGAGCCTTTAGTAGTGGGAGGAGAATGCTTGGAATGGCTTTTGTTGCTTCAGAAATCGAGTTAACAATATATAGGCTGCCTTTCCATTTCAGAGGTAGATCATTTTTGCCTGGTCTGGAAAAAAGAAAGAACAAATCTGCTTTCTTGAAGTCTTCTGCCTCTAATTTCTGTCTTGCAAAAGAGATTGGTCAAAAACTCCCTTCCAGTGCTACTGATGGCTCTAATAAAAGATATTATGAGAGGGAGGCAAAGGGCTTCCTAGCCTCTCTACACCAGGCTGACCATAGCAAACGGATGGACTTAGAGGATAGGGACCAACAAGAATGGAAATGAGTCTCTTCCCAGCACAACAGGCGTGGCAGGCGTGCCCTCCCCCCAGTAACTGCTCCACCTTCCCAGGTGCCCTTGCAAAACAGGTATGGTGTTCTGCAAGGGGAACCATACAAAAAGCAGGAAGACAACTTGCCTAGTTCAGAGGCACCGCCAAGGCTCAATCAGAGGA